TAACAGTTGTTTACATTTATATAAAAAATTTCTCTATATTATCACAACACCGATCACTCCATAGACACATTACAAACATTGTTAAAATAAGTTTCCGTTTTCTATCTGATTTTTGAAAAATGTGTTTAAACTCGATATAATGAAGTAATCGTTATTTCTAAGTTATTATTTTATTTAAAAAATTTCTTAACTAATTCATAATTTTAAATTTGTAATTCATAATTTAGCGATTTATATTAGTTTTACAATAATCTTAAATTATTCTTAAAACTCTTGTGTTTGCACAATGTTTATGTGAAATAGAAATGATTGCAAAAATACAACGAAAAAAGAATGGCAATAAAATTAAATCATTATAGACCCATTACGACTATGAGTATTATCTAGATAATTCTATTTGTTTTAAGATGTTTCTTTGATAAATCTGTTGAAATCTTTGTTAGCGTGCTAATAATAATTTCATTATATTGACACTTCATCATTATTTTAAATTATTTATTATTGTTATCGATTTAACATACTGAAAGTAGCTCAGTTTTGGCTGAAACGTCTATAATTTATTGTTTATATATATGTACGTTTAATCACTGCGCGAAAAAAAATCCTCTATTGTGACTTATAAGCTCCTTATCAATTTCATCATTATTTATATTATTGTTATATTATTTATATCTTATATAGTTGTAATATGCATTATATAATAGTGGCTTTTTTATAGATAAATTTTAATTGAAACGTTAATATAATTTGAAAAGTTCTTGTGTTGTACAACGTAATTTATGGGATTTTATGTCAGTTATTTTGCTTTACTTGTAAATTTATTTTATCAATCAATCAAATGAATAAGTTACAAACTATTATGTTAAAATTGATGCTGTGTGTTCAAGAATTAATTATTTATAGTATTGCATTTTATATGCATATGTAAAAGATTAATCAGTTATATAACATTATTGCACTTTTCTTGTAAAGAAAGATAATTTTTTTATTTGTACGCATTCAAAAAATATTTTTTAAAATGTACATATATTTTTTCTTTACATCAATTTATATCATATTTAATCTTGGATGAATATTTGGAAATAGGATTGAGGAAAATAAATGCATAACTTGTTTAATTATAGGTTTTGCTACATACACAAAATATAATTCTTTATTTTTATGTCATATATATTGAATATGTATATTGTATATGAAAATATCCTATATTATAATATTTTTAAAAAGATATCTGTGGAAATTTTTGTATTTCTAAATTCATAATATTTTGTTTATACAAAAATTTATCTTTTTTTACTTCATTATTTATTTCATCAATTTTAATTTAAAAATCAATTAATAATTTTAATAATTTTAATAATTTTTTTTATATCTATCAAACTTATTTTTATTAAAATGCAGCTTTGTAAAAATATTTTTTT